TTATTATTATTATTATTATTATTATTATATATGTTCACTAATCAGTCTTATTTGAAATTGGAACCTTGTTAATTGAATGGAGTTTGTTAGATTTCATTTCTTTTCAAAAGCATCTAACAGTGTTCAAACAGCCTCAGAAATGGAGCTCTGTTTTATTCTGCAAAGTCTCTATTAAAATAGAAACTGGTTGAGAAAACACTTGAAGATGGCTTATTTTTAAATTGAGAGACATTGACGCATTGTGTGTGACACAAAACTTGACATTTAATTGAAACTTCTTAAAAGTTAAATCCCTGCCATGAATAATATTTTCTTCCTCTTTTCCCCTCCTAGGTCTGAACTTCATATTTTTCTCCCTGAAAATAGGTTTCAACTTCGTATTTTCTCCCTGAAACTAAGTTTCATCTGAAGAGATCAAAATGGTCCCAAATTACTCTACTGAAGAAACCATTAAAAGAATCCATGTTGACTGCCCTGTTTCGGGAAGGCACAGTTACATCTACATTATGGTTCCAACTGTTTACAGCATCATCTTTGTCATAGGCATATTTGGGAACAGCCTGGTCGTTATTGTCATTTACTGCTACATGAAATTAAAAACAGTAGCCAGCATCTTTCTTCTAAACCTGGCACTGGCTGACTTGTGTTTTTTAATCACTCTGCCACTCTGGGCAGCCTACACGGCCATGGAGTACCAGTGGCCTTTCGGCAACTGCTTGTGTAAGTTAACATCGGCGGGGATAAGTTTCAACCTGTACGCCAGCGTGTTCCTCCTCACGTGCCTCAGCATTGACCGGTACCTGGCCATAGTACACCCGGTGAAGTCCCGAATCCGACGCACCATGTTCGTTGCCAGAATAACTTGCATTGCCATCTGGCTTCTGGCCGGTGTGGCCAGTTTGCCCGTCATCATTCACCGGAATATCTTCTTTGCGGAGAACTTGAACATGACAGTCTGCGGTTTTCGGTACGACAACAATAACACAACGCTCCGGGTTGGGTTAGGTTTATCCAAAAATTTACTTGGCTTTTTAATTCCTTTTCTGATCATATTAACAAGCTACACCTTAATTTGGAAAACCCTGAAGAAGGCATATCAAATTCAAAAAAACAAGACCAGAAATGACGATATTTTTAAGATGATTGTAGCAATAGTATTTTTCTTTTTCTTTTCCTGGATTCCTCATCAAGTGTTCACTTTTTTGGATGTATTAATTCAATTACATGTAATAACAGACTGCAAGATCACCGATATTGTGGATACGGCTATGCCCTTCACCATCTGCATCGCTTACTTTAACAACTGTTTGAATCCCTTTTTTTATGTGTTTTTTGGAAAAAACTTTAAAAAATACTTTCTTCAGCTATTAAAATACATTCCACCAAACGTCAGCACACATCCAAGCCTAACAACAAAAATGAGCTCGCTCTCATATCGGCCACCAGAAACTATACGCTTGCCCACTAAGAAGACTGCTGGGTCTTTGGATGCAGAGTGACGTGTTTTGCAGAACACCTTTTTTTTGAACAAATGCTTGTGAACGAAGCAGCAAGAATGACAAAACTCATCTGCAGTCCTGAACATCACAGCTTACTGCTCATTACAGAAGCATCAGATCACCTCAGAGAAATCCTACTGTACAGATTTAGCAGTGGCCTTTTATTTTACCTTGTGAAGGGGACTGCTTGGGTTTCATTTTGTTTTTCTTTACTCAAAGCAACATGGACAGGCACGTCAGAGTTTCTGCCAGCATCCTGCTGTTACTCAGAACTACAAAAGAAGGGTAGAGAAAATGCCTAACTTAAGTTCAGAGGTCTTTTTGAAGGAAAACCTTGTATGAACTACATGAATTAAGAATGACCTGTTTCACACATACGTGAGCTACTCCAAATTTTTTTCAAAGAGTCGATGGACCTACACTGCTTGTTTTGTTGTTTGTTCTTGGGTTTTTTTCTCTTTTAAATGACATGAATGTCATATCATATTTATATTATACTTTCAAATACATGCTATATATAGAGAGGCCAAATTTTAAACTCAAATGGAAATCTAAGATCCTTCAAATTGGTCTTATTCTGATTTATGCTACTATTTTTCATTTTTAAATGGCAATTTTTTTCGTAATAATATATGCAATAAAATGCAGGTTATTTATTAAATATGAAAGAAATCTATTTTTAGATTTGTATTCCTACGCTTAGATTTCAATCATTGCTTCATAAATGTACATTTATATCCCAGTGGGTATTTTTATAGTAGTTTTAAAAGTGTATATATATATTTATACGCACACAAAAATGGCGTTCACTCAACTTTTGCTCATCATATGCCGCACTGACTTTGAAGAACATTCCTTATGGAGCGGGTTGACTCCGTACTCGATGTGACTAAAAGGAAATTCTGTATTTGAAATCACGAGTTCTGAGACAGAGGTGATCAGAACATTTCAAGCTATTTTTGTATAACCACCAGTGCACTCAGTGAGAGAACTTACCAACTAATCAAACCCACTCAATTTTTCGAATTCCTGGCCATTTAATAAACTCACATTCTGACATGTGAAAATGAGACAATGCTTATATTGCACTTTCACCAATAATGCTTTTAGTCGCATCACGAAACATCCGAGCCTCTTGACTTTTACAGAATTTCTCTCCATTCATACAAAACTAAGCCTAGAGTATTTGCTCCCTGTAGAACACTTTTGTTACCTGTATGGAACAAATTCAAATTTATGCTAGCATAAATCAGAACAAGTCTGGCTCAAACTCTCCATACAAACGAGTGGGGAATGGCGGTAAGCACTGTAGGAAGTTTCAACTAATGACATCCTCATAGGTCCTTTTTACCTAAAATAACGAACTCCAGAAAATATTTATTCTTGATTCACACTCATTTATTGTCTTCAAAGATAAATGAGTTAATAAAGACTTTTTGAAACAGCAAAACTGAAGAAAAACTCAAACAATTGTGCGACCCTTTAGAATTTGCAGTATTTATAATCTTCAAAATTCTACATCTATTGTGGCTCTGTCTCAGGTAGCACATAGTTGGATTACCCATATTTTCTGATTATCAGTCTCTTGCATATATACAAATAATATTTTAAATTATTTTTGAATTTAGGAAATTATTTTAAAATCAAAACACAACAGAAAAGTTTTCTCTGCAGTTTAATATTTTTAAATGAAATACAGGACTGCAAACAGGTCTGGGAATCTTACGACTCTTCCTGCTCTTTCATTCACTTATTTTAAGGCAAGTTTCTTAATTTTTCCTTTGCTCTTTCAGCTACAAAATGGGAACAATCTCTACGTACATATGTCAAGGCACTGTGAGGACTCACTAAAACTTCTGAAGCTGTACGTTAAAAAAATGCCCTTTCATTAACGGTTTAAGTTAGTTTAATTAGCAAGCTACTATCTCAAAAGTTGAGACGTGAATGTGTCAGTTAAATTATTCCTATGAGACGTAATGCTTTAAATTTAGCTCATATCTATCCTTACATGTGCATATGAGAGAGCCAGTCGTTAAAAATGACTACGGCAATAATTCCTGCATTACAAAGAGTATCCAGAACAGTAGCACGGCCTCAGTCAGCCGAGGAAGGACTGCCCCAGCTGCCGTTTGTCTCTGTGATGCTTTGCTCACGCTGAGAGCATCCCCAGCTTCCCCTGGCAGAGGCAGCTCTCAGCCCAAATCCGGCGTGCTCTGCTTGCCACCTGCTGGAGGCAGCCACACATTTGTTTTTCATCTCAGAAATTGCTCTAGGAAGAGACAGTAATATATCCCTGCCTGCTGATGGATCTGGAGATCCTTACCTGTGGCAAAATTCCTATAGATATGAAATACAAATTTGGCCATCTGGGAGGCAGTTAACTTCCTTGACAGGGGCTAAGCAAGCGTTTCCTCATCAGCTGCTGATCCCTTTGGTCACTGAAATCCAGTGTCCCCTGAAATCCAGTGTCCCCAGCGACCACAATAGGTAGCACATTTGCATTACTACAGGCTCCATCTACAAGAGAATATATATACGTAAGGAAGAATATATATAGTTATAAAAATAAAAATCAAAGCTTATTTGCACAAGTGATAACTAATGATTTAGCTGAAAGGACTCATTTATCACCAAGAAGAAAAAGAAGCAGAAGCAGTAATGACCATGAATGATAAAAATGTATTACAGCAGAAAACAGAAGAGAAGCCTTAGGTTGTGATTTTGATCATTTGATCCCAGATCCTGTGTTTTTAAGAGACTCTGTATCCTAGGCTGCTGGTGCCACCTGTGCCTACCTGCGTCACAGGATGAAGCACGAGCGTACACCTTGGGCTGTGTTGCTGCAGGAAAGGCAGGACAGGATTGCAGCTGGTGTGCTTTGAAGGCAAGGCTGACCTTGAACTGATAGGCAACCAAAGTGGAATTGCTGTTAAATAACGCTGGGAAATTTTTGTTCTCCTAAGGAGTAAGAAAGTGGTGATCAGCTGCCAAACATAGTGGATCCTAGTTTAGTGTTTCCTTAAAAAAAATATATATATATAAAAGAAGAGGCAAATCAGTAGCTACTGAAAAGTAACCAGAGATAAAACTCCCCAGCAGCTCTAACAGGGCAGCAGGAGAGAGCAGATTTTTGGAGCGCAGTTACTGCCTACAGCCACATCCTGCAGTTCCCCACAAAGCCCCAGACTCACAGTTAACTGAAAGATCCCCATTTCCCTCAGCATAACCAAACCACTTCCATCACGTACCTAGCTGCAATGAATGCAGGTGCAGACAAAACCACTGCTGAGCCTTACGCTCGCCTGCCCACCTACTTGCTGAAAATACTATGCTGGGAACCTGTGCATGGGGGCTGTGGTGGGACAGAGTGCAGGATCTGGGTGATCTCCTGGACCCCTGGCTGAACAGCCCCTATGGAGGTGCAGGTAGGAGATGGCCAAAGTGTCCTTTGGTGCAAGAACCTACTCCTTGACAACAGAGGAGGAGTGAGTGAGATTTGGCTGTATAGGGCTTCACCATCTTTGGTTGAGCCATCTTAATTTAATAACAAAATAAGAACAAACTCCCACTATCGTAAAGAACACAGAGCTAATTAGGATGCAGTCGTATGCTGTTATATTACAAACCAGTATCCACAGTGCTTTTCATGCTCAGGATGATCAAAATACAATACTTGACACACTCTTAGACTGCCCCTGTACTCTCCTGGTGTGAGGAACTCAAGTCAGTGTTAACGGGGACGGCATATAGACAGTCCTAAATACAGGGATCACCACTCACAGTTCCATTCTGTTGACTTGTTTGAATGAATGCTTTCTTTCTGCTGGCAGAATAATTACAAAATCACATTATGTTTGACATGTACTTGCATAATATTTATTTCTATTTAATGTGAACTAGTACTTTATGACTCATGTTTCGTGTTCTGCTCTCTACTTGCTTGCCCATTATATGCCTGTCCTAAATCATACTATATAATCTGCACTGCTTAGCCTAAATCTCAACAAAACATACAGATCCAATAGGGATAAATTTGACTTCTCAGCTTAGCAATTTCCTCATATTTACATTGTTAATCAAGATGTTGCAGAGTAAGTACGAGGCTAAAAGTCCTTTACCAGAACTACTATTTAGGTGATGGTTTTCATCATCTACTTGAAACTGTGACAGCAGCAGAGAATAGAGTAGGATTCCCAGGTTTTGTTTCGTTTTGCTTGCACAGCTTCAGCAATGATTTATCTTACTGAGCTCTTTTTAAAGTGTACTGAAGTGCAAATATTCCCAGGGAGAAGTTTGAAAGGAGAGACAAATACTTCGGAGGGGGCAGAAGAAGGCCCAAAGCAGAGACTTGCTGATTTTGGAAACATTTAGTGTTGCATGTCAATACCTAATTTCATTTTTGCAACATATAAAAAAAAACCTAAGAATAAATCTTTCCTCTAAGTAGTGGAATATTTCAGAAAGCTTTGAGAAGCTTTTTCAAGTCTCTTAATAGTGTTCTGCCCCGTTTGGATCATATCAAACCATTCTTACCCCGCTCACAAGGTCAGAGTCTCCAGCTCTGCTCTTCTACATCACATTACAGGCTTGGCCAGACGGTCATCCCCAGCCTGTGCAGAGTGAGGAGGCTGTTGATCAGTCACCGAGTCCATTTCAGCAGCGGCCTCAGTGCCAAGGCTGAGCTCACAAATCCTCAGTGTTAATGGCAGAGCTGACAAGCTCATGGTCACTGGTGAGTTCTGCAGATGTGGCTGGACGCTCAAGAAACAGGCACAAATCATGCTTGAGAACAGCGTGGTGGGGTCTTTTCATTGGATCAGTGCCACGGCTGCAGCTTTACAAGTACTTGGTAAATTTAATAACAAGAACTAGATATTATTTTCTTTTAAATATTTTCATGCAGTCGTAAGTTGTGAAGTGGTGGATGCTAATGGTTTCTATTTCAATAGAAATAGTTTTAGATTGTAGAAGTTTAATACTACTGTGTAAGAACTTTTATTGTCTGAAGTATTACTAGACACATACAAGTCATCAATAGATGTCTTCGTGAAAGCCATCTTCACCACTGTATTAATCCAACCAAAGCAAAGAGATGTTTCTGTGTTATCGTAAGTACTACACTACCATCAGTATATCTATAGCTGTATATCTTAGGCAATATCATCCTTACCAAAGTATTTCTATTTAATGTTGTAATATTTTACACCACTGTTCCTCATTCCTTTTAATCCAAAATCTAATCCAGCTCCCCCTGAATTCTGGACAGGCTGTGCTTG